GTGACTGCGTAATGAGTCCATCGGCCCGTGAATCGGTATTCGTCCAGCGACGGTTTATCGAACGGTTTGTCGCTTTATATTCCGCCGATTCCGTTTGAAGGCGATCCCCGTTGTAGACGAATCGAACGAAACGATATGACGTTTAGAAACGCTTTTTCTCTGTTTTTAATTATCTCGGAAATTTGTCTATTCGCTCTGTCTCTTCTTGTTAGTGTGTAAAATGTAGTAAACTACGGGTTTCGAATAAAATAAAGTTTCTAAGGGACGAAATACAATTCTATTGAACTTTCGGTATAGTTAAACGATATCTAAAATTCTGAATTTGTTAAATGTTAACAGTTGCGGATTTCTTTTGTAACGTAGACGTTGTTAGAGTTTCCCACTGCTAAGTTTATCAAACAAATGTTCAATCTCTGCTTTTAACAAATGCCTACGCGAAAATTGAAACCAAGAGAAATATTTCTCCGCTTCCCTGTAGAACTCGGAACGTTTTTACCTAACGAATTCCCGGACTAATCACAGTCGAGGCATTCGAACAATCTCCGTCGAGCATCATCGACGGAATATCATTGTTCCAACGGTGGACGTGGAAACGCGAATTCGCTCTTCACGGAGGAAAGAATACGAGGAAGGGGATACAGCCGTCAAACACAGCCGTCTGCCGCCTGCCCCCTTCCGTCCAGGCAAGTTATTAAGGCCTTATTAAATTGGTTCCTTTTTCCGAGGAACTTTTTTACCTGACAAAAAACGCCAGACGTAGGAACGAGTAACGAGGCAGGCCTACTCGTCAATTTCGCTTCGCGCGAATTCTTTCGCAACCATCTTTCCCCGTGTTCTTTTTCTCATCCCCGTCCACTCTTTTTCTCTTTCACATTCTTCATCATTCTCTTCCACTTTTCATTTTCTCTTTCCATTCTTTTCCTTCTTCCTTCTCGATTCTCACGTTCTTCACGGTACGACGCAACGCGACGCGACAACGACCACGCGAGACACGTAAAAATTATTTCCTTGTTTTCGGCCGTCGCGTCGCGACGCGACTCCGGCCCCGGTTCAACGACGAAACGAGTTGGAGGACTGTTTTTTAGCGGCACTTTTAAGCCTTGCGTGAGATTTTAATTTCAACCGTGGCGGCCCTGCGTTTTAGGTTCGTTCCTTTCCTCTTTTCCCTTTCTATCTTGTTTTCTTCGTTTTTCGCGGCATTTTTCCCCGCGACCCTCTATTTTCCGTCGTCGGGCATTGTCGTCGCGCGCCTTCCCCGTCCGCGGCGGAATAATTGCGCGACCGGCACCGGCAGTCGGTGAACGGCGAAGCAGTTCCACGAAAAGTGCAAGGGAAATGTTGTTTCAGACGTTTTTCCCTCGTGCCGGACCGCGTTTCAAAATTTTATGTTACACGCTATCGCTCGCGCCTTTTCGCCTGGAACGTAACACAAGAGAAATGTTACCCAGTTCTCAAGGAAATGTCTAGGTTCCAAGAAAGATCCAGGATTTCAAGGTACGAAACCGTTTTATGCATACACCGGTGCAGCGGGTTGGGAGACTTCATCTTTTAAAGTACACGTTTCTACGCGACACGTGGAAACCGTCGTTTTTATCGTAGCTGCAGCGCGATTTTCAGTCTTCAAGAAAACGGAATTCATGACTATCCCGTTTTTTATGCTGGTCGGTGTCTATTATTCGATGTTACACAGTGAAGCGATTTTAGGGCCCGTATTTGATCGCGTTCATAAAAAGGGCAATGAAAGAGTGATTCTCGTCGTTTCGAGTTCTTTGATTTTAGTTCGGAATGAGAGAATCATCTTTTGAAATATTTACTGTGTGTGGTGGAATATTCTATGTAAGTTAAAAATGGTTAATTTAATTTTTAAGTTGAGTAATTTAAGTGGGTAATACGTTTTTAATTCTTTTGATTCGAACAGAGTTAGTATTATCAAAGTTAAACTTGAAAATTTACGAATTAACGCTCGTCGACACGAAAGTTTAAAAATTGGAGCTACTTTCGAAACCACCACCACTGTCTCAAACATCAATTCGCACATCGCCCGATAACATTTAAAATCACTGTAGCAATTCAGAAAAAAAGAAAAACACTGTTCCTCCATAAGCACACGAAGAATCTACGCAATTCCAATAAACGCTGAACACGATGATTTAAAACTGTATAAATAACCCCTCCCGCCTCGCGGTAAGTCCCATTAATATTCGCGTCACGGACTCGCACTGCCAATAAAATTACGATCACCGATTGATTTTATTATTCATTCATCACTACCCGAACGGGCATAAACTTCAAGTATAATATCCGACCGATATTTACGATCGGCCGCTGCGGAACGCTCGGTGTCAAACGAACGCGTCCCGGTGTCGCAACCAGAGTGGCGCGACGAAAACAGAAATCGAGATAGAAAATGTATTTCAAGAGCCCTTGGTCAAATTGAAAGATCAAATCACAGATACTCGATTCCGGCGACTGAATCGAGCCGACTCGTTGTCGAGTTTAAAATGAACAGAAAAAAAACAAAAAAAAGTAAAAAGAACACGTCGCATACGGGAAAAAAGGGAGGCAGACAGAAAGGGAGGATCGAGTGCGTTTAAAATGCAGCATCTCGATAGGGATACCGATACCCAATCCTCTTGATAATGGTTAAATGAAAAAACGTGTTTTCACGGTGGGTAAACAGGAACGCACAGAAAAAAAGCAAACATCGTTCGTCGGGCGGGAGGGGGGTGTAGAGTGGAGGTTGGAAAAAAGGAAAATCGGCGAACACGGTTACACGACATCGATCAACACTAGTTCCCGGCGACTGCTTTCCGCGCAGTGGCGTGACTTTTCGCTCGTCCCCGCGTGAAGAGGGTCGCGTGCGTATCACAGGCAACACAGGGGATGAAAATCGCCGCGGAAAAGGGCAACGCAAACTTTCCAACGGTGCTTCGTTCGTTCTCGCGCGGCCGCTTTCCAATTTCGCCATCGAAAAATCGAGAATTTTTTTGTCCTATCTCCGCCGCTGCCGCCCCCAACCCCCCTCTGTAATTTTTGTTTAATCGAAAAACACACGGGAAATATTGCCTCCCTTCGGGAGGGAGACCGGTTGATTTTTGGTGGAAACGTTTTTATATAATAAATAAATAGCCGGGCCGCGAGCGACGGCTCCAATCCACGATATCGATAGAAACGTATCGGCGGGCATTAATCGAAGGGAATGTTATGTTTGATTGATTCCTCCGAAATGAAACTTGCGGCCGGCCGACAGTAAATAAATTGCTGGGGATTCGGGTCAGGGTTTTTCTTCGCAATTCGAAAATGTTTGGAACGGGTTTTTGGGAATTGACGTTGAATAATGTGTTTAATATTGAATGGTATGTTTGAAGTTGAAGGGATAAATTCGTGGAGAATCGGGGTGAGAGTTTCTCTTCGAGAGTTGGAAATATTTGGGAAGAGTTTTTGCGAATTGATGTGAAATGATTTGTTTTGAAATTATTTGTGCCATTAGTTATACTTGCTAACTTTTTTGGAATACAGTATTTTGATTGGGTGCAAGAACAAGTGACAAAGAATATGGTAATGAGAAAGGTGAATATTATTCTTGAAATGAAATAGAAATAATTCATGCAATTACTGACGGTACAAACTCCACGGTTATATTATAA